AAACACACACTACCCATAAGGTTGCATGAGGATTTAGACGAGGAAGCATATATTATGGGTGACACTGCAACACATGTGTTTGTGTAGATGTTTAATGATTAACAACAACACAACAAGGCACTAACACAACAATGAAACACCCTCAGCATACACACATGAAGGATACATTCACACGTTATACATGACACATCACTCCACGACAGCGCAAATTACACAGACGTTGTTTGTGTCAAAAAAAACTCGAAAAACAACACAACGAATTTCGATACCACCCCGCACTTATAGTCTCCCGAACAAAGACCTGATTTCCCCACTTTAAGGAATCCGATCGCCCGTTCATAAGCGCCCGAAACCGCCTTCAGGGGATTGAGGCCACACGGAAAGGGTCCAAAAACCTTTCCTTCTGATACCGTTAGGTCTGGGATAACCCAAGCCGAGGGCGATGAAGTTTTAGGAGAAAAGGGTCCTGGGGTTTCTTAATACTAATCTTGAAGGGAGGGAAGATGTTGGAATTTCGTAAGATATTGTCTTTTTTTTTGTTTGTTTTTAGTCTTTTTGTATTTGATATTTTTTTTTTGTCGTCTTGCTCATATCGATAGTCTACCCCATGTCTCGCTTTTTTATCGTTTTGGTCTTAATTTTTATTGGCCTTCCTGTTCCGTTGTTTTTGTTGGTCTCTTATTCATTTCTTAAAATTTCGTTCGTCATTCTTTTTCTATATCTGTAGCTTGGAGTTCACACTTTCTCTCATTCATGATCTTTTTTTCTTTTCATCTTTCTCTATCCTTTGTCCTATTATCCTTTTGGTCTTCCCGGCCTTCTCTCGTCCACCTCTGATCTTACGCCTCTCCATCTGTTGTCTTGCTGTTCCCTTTATTTTATCACTCCGTCTTTCTTCTCCTCTTCTATATTGTCGCTTTCGCTCTTTGTTCTTTCTTCCTAGTCGCCCGATTTCTCACTTTCCTCTGATTCTCTCTGTCTCACCGTTTCCTGTTATCTTTCTCCTCTTTCCGTCTCTTCTTTCTTTCTTTTTTCTATTTTCCCTCCTCTTTTGTCATATTTTAATCCTCTTCTGAGATTATTTCATGTTTTCTCCTCTTCTCTTCCCCCCCGTCTCTCTCCTCCTGGCTCCTTCCTTCGCTCTTTTCCCTTTGTTCCAATTTTTTTGTACTATCTCCTCTCAATCGATGCTCATTCGTGATCAGATTTTGATTATTGTTTAGTCCCTACTCTCCGCTTTCTCCGATATATATATTTTTTTTGTGATTTTTGTATTTCTTTTATTGTTTCTTTATCTTCCTTCTTTTCATGGCTCTTAAGATCTTTTCCTTCATCTATCTCTTCTGTCTTCCTTTTTTCACTTTTAGTTCCCCCCGCTTCCTTTCTTTCTCTTTTCTCCCTCCCCTTCTTCTTTCTCTCGTCATCTCTCTTCTATCTACTCTAATGCTATCTACCTAGTCTATCCTATCCATCTATATATCCCCTCTCTGACTCTGTTACTCTATTTCAGTTTTTTTTTTCTATGTTTCGCCCCTCACCATCTACTTATCAAATTTAAACACAAACTCAAAAGCTACAGTATCCCTCAACATTCCAGCGAAATACACAATAAAGAAAACGGGAAAAAAGAAAATGGATCGCAAACAGAAGAAAACGATCGCAACATAGAAAACGGATCGGATTCGGGCTCGAAAAAATGGATCGCAATAAAAGAAAATGGAACGGCATGGTTTGTTGAGGACTATCATTCGAACCAATAAATCTGAAAATACGAGAGAAAACCACAATGGCTCTCTCTCTCTCTCTCTCTCTCTACCTGTTCTTACAACCCTGACTAAAGAAAATGGGAAGAGAGGTAGCGTAATAAAACGGAGCTATCGATTCCTGTGGATTTTTAACTTTCTCGTTTCTTTTCTCGTCTTTTCACATATATTCTTGCCTTTTTTTACAATAACAAAACTCTCGTTTTCTTGTTTTTACTTTTTCTTTTCTTTCTTATTTCATTCCTATTTCCCTCCCTTCGTTTTTGAATTTCCTTCTCTCTTTACAACTCGTTTTTCTTCTTTTTTCTATCTATACCGGCGCCTACATGTTCGCTTCGCCCTGGATCTAATTGAATCGCAATTTATGGCTTGCGATAGAATTGGCTAACGATTGCTTCGCCGGACAATCTCGAGGTAATGTGCACTGTGTTTCGGCGGGAAAAGCAGTACTTGTTGCCAGGGGGATGATCAGCTTTCGGCAGTTTCGGCGGGAAGTTTGAAAAAAGAGAAATATGGCCGCCAGTCCCCACGCAAATCGAATACAATAATCAGAAGGAACAATGTTTTTTTTTCTGATAAAGGAGGAATAAGGGTTTTCTGATAAAGGAGGAATAAGGGTTTTCTGATAAAGGAGGAATAAGGGTTTTCTGATAAGAATAATGGTTTTTCTGATAAAGGGGGAATAAGGGTTTTCTGATGAAGGAGGAATAAGGGTTTTCTGATAAAGGAAGAATAAG